GGCTCCTCTGATGCTGCCTGGCCTGCTGTGTTCATCCAGCTCCACACCTTGTTATCTTGGACTCCAGCATCAGCAATTCCTACTATCTCAAGTTAGTCTAAGCCGTTTCTTACATAAGTTCATCATTACCTTCCTGCTGTTCTCCTCTTTTCCCCACTCTTTGGTTAATTGTACCAGAGGATCTGAATTTAAACTACGTATTGCCAATTTGCAATGTATTTATCCATTTACTCATTTTCTTGATAAAGCTTTAAAATGTGGTTTTATTTGTACTAAAACCTATCCAGGTAAAAACATTAAAAATATACTACAAGATAATAATTCTTGCTGAGCCCTGCAACTTGAGCACCAAACACAGGTGAATGAAGCTTGCCATAAATGTAACTTACAGAGTAAAAGAGGTTAACTTTGGTCAAGTTAAGATTCAATAAGAAATGAATGATAAACCAGAGATCACTGGATGTAGATCTGGAGGCTTTGGATCTCACATAAGGCATTTATTTTAAAGTTAAGCCTTTAATTTCTGGAAACTCTGCTGTAGAAATTCTGTGCAGGTTGTCTTTTTGCTTGTAAAGCATGTAGACACAATTGCAAAGCTAGGAAACTGTGGTGGGTTTCCTGTGTGGGAGCGAGAGTTGAAGTTATCTTCATGCTCATATACAGCCAGTGAAATCCCAGACTTGATTTAGAATTTAGTCAACAGAAGACCAGCCTGCCAATTGTACCTGTGCCAGCTCTTTGAAAGGGTTATCTGATAAATCCCATACCCCATTGCCATAGCTCTGCAAAGTTTGATCCTTCGAATGTTTATTCAGTTCAGTGTTGAAATTGTGTTTGAACGCATATTCTCTGCTAGGTAATGTATTGAATCATTACAGCTTGCAACATATAAATGAAAATCTATTCTTGTTGTTTTTCCAATTAACTAAAACCTGTGATCTCTGGTTACTGACACTTCTGTTACAGTTCCACTTTACTTGCATTAATCAGGATGTTCACAATTTTGATCAACTCTATTAGTACTCCGCTTTTCTAAGGAGAACAGTCCCACTTGTTCTTGTCTCAATGTAACAAAGCCCCAAAGTGACTTCATGACATTTTGTTTCAGGCCTCAGTAGTGAAATGTGTTTTTTCTTTTGAGAAGTTATATCTATATTTAAAAGAATTCTTGCAGATTCTTGTTTTCCTTGCTTTTTATGGTATTTGTACATTTAAGGTGGCACAAATACAATGTATCGATTTTAAAATTTCTTTCAAACAGCATTGTGTTACTGCTGAGCCAAAAGCAGGCTTTGGAGGAGCTAAGACAGAATGTGCAACAGATGAAGTGTTCTGAGGCTAAACTCTCTGCACAGAAGGATCTGTTGGATCAAAAGGTTAAAGAGAATGATGGGAAGGAGCCACCACCTGTACTAGCCTATGAAGACGATGCAAGATCTATTACATCAATGGTAGGTCTATGTACAGAATAATTCGTCTCTTCCAATGGCATTCTTTTAAATTTAGTAGTTGAAAGATGAGATAAAATTTTAGCATGATTTGTTTCATGGTAAACTACTCAGACAGTCCTCTTAAGTGCATTCTATTTGACTATTTAGATATCTTCAAGCTATTAGGTTCATTGCATGTTCTTGAGGGCCAGTATATTTGAATAAATTTGCAATAGACGAGAAATAAAGTTACAAGGGGAATGTAAATGTGATGAACTGATCTGTCAGATTATCACTTGAAAAATAAATGTTGCCATGGAGAAGTGACTAGCTGCATTAATGGCTTCTAAAGACCTGTGGAATTGAAGGTATTAAATTCTAACTTCTGAAAAATGCATCCAACGAGTTAGACTTTCTAATTGAAGGTGAATAGTAAAATGAATCCCAGGTGATAAACAGAATGCTAATTAACTACAGGAACACACACTTCATTGGGCATCCCGTGGAATAGCTAACATTTAATCACTAATTCGTAGGCGAGACTGTGGAAAAGGAACAGTATAATTCTGAATGCACTTTATTTCTGTTAAACACCATGGATTATGACTCTCAATTTGTCAACCAAGCTGAGAACTTTTTTTAAAATGGCTTCCGTTTGATACTTCCTTTGTAACTTCCCTCTGCTTTTGTTAAGCTTTGCACCAACATTGCCAAAAAGTAGGTAGAAGGGCATCTTATTCGCAGGCCATTGTCAAAATTACTCTTGAGGTGTTAGCAGGATGGTTTAAGAGAACAATTTGACCATATTCTCTGTACTTGCTCCCCTTTGTGACTTCTTCCTTGTGTATTGAAACCCTTCCTTCGTCAACTGCATCAATCTCATTTCTCTACTTGGCATCAGAATTCACTTTGCAAACTATGATTTTGAACCACAAATGGCTTGCAAAAAACCTTACCAAAATTAGATGAATGTAAAGTGCTTATGCGCTCTGACCACATACTTATTCTTAACCACATGTTTAGTTATATTACAGAATCAACCTTAAAGCAGGAAAAAATTCCAAATTTATTGGAAACATTCAGTAGATCAGACAGCAACTTTGAAAAGAATATATTTGCTCACTTTCAGATGTTGGCTATTCGTTTGAATTTGAGGTCAGACAAAGAAAGTAGACTTTAAAATGAATACAGAACAAAGAGGAGAGGGAAAATAATGCATACAAACTTATGTGCACCTACACATTTAATCTCACACCCTTGAAATGTGATGTCTCGGATCGTGTTTTTGGGATCCTTAAGGGGGAGGGGGAGCAGCCCCAAGTCGTGGTCCACATAGGCACCAACGACAGGTAGGAAAAGGGATGGGGACGTAAGGCAGAAATTCAAGGAGCTCGGGTGGAAGCTTAGAGCTAGAACAAACAGAGTTGTTATCTCTGGTTTGTTACCCGTGCCACGTGCTAGCGAGGCGAGGAATAGGGAGAGAGAGCAGTTGAACACGTGGCTACAGGGATGGTGCAGGAGGGAGGGATTCAGATACCTGGATAATTGGCTCATTCTGGGGTAGGTGGGACCTCTACAAACGGGATGGTCTACACCTGAACCAGAGGGGTACCAATATCCTGGGGGGGAAATTTGCTAATGCTCTTCGGGAGGGTTTAAACTAATTCAACAGGGGGGTGGGAACCTGAATTGTAGCTCCAGTGTACAGGAGGTTGAGAGTAGTGAGGTCATAAATAAGGTTTCAAGGTCGCAGGAGTGTACCGGCAGGCAGGAAGGTGGTTTGAAGTGTGTCTACTTCAATGCCAGGAGCATCCGGAATAAGGTGGGTGAACTTGCAGCATGGGTTGGTACCTGGGACTTCGATGTTGTGGCCATTTCGGAGACATGGATAGAGCAGGGACAGGAATGGTTGTTGCAGGTTCCGGGGTTTAGATGTTTCAGTAAGATCAGGGAAGGTGGTAAAAGAGGGGGAGGTGTGGCATTGTTAGTCAAAGACAGTATTACGGTGGCAGAAAGGACGTTTGATGACAACTCGTCTACTGAGGTATTATGGGCTGAGGTTAGAACCAGGAAAGGAGAGGTCACCCTGTTGGGAGTTTTCTATAGGCCTTCGAAAAGTTCCAGAGATGTAGAGGAAAAGATTGCAAAGATGATTCTGGATAGGAGCGAAAGTAACGGGGTAGTTGTTATGGGGGACTTTAACTTTCCAAATATTGACTGGAAACGCTATAGTTCAGATGGGTCAGTTTTTGTCCAATGTGTGCAGGAGGGTTTCCTGACACAGTATGTAGATAGGCCAACAAGAGGCGAGGCCACATTGGATTTGGTACTGGGTAATGAACCAGGCCAGGTGTTAGATTTGGAGGTAGGAGAGCACTTTGGTGATAGTGACCACAATTCGGTTACGTTTACTTTAGCGATGGAAAGGGATCGGTATATAAAGCAGGGCAAGAGTTATAGCTGGGGGAAAGGCAATTATGAGGTGATGAGGCAAGATTTAGGATGCATAGGATGGAGAAGGAAATTGCAGGGGCTGGGCACAATTGAAATGTGGAGCTTGTTCAAGGAACAGCTACTGCGTGTCCTTGAGAAGTATGTACCTGTCAGGCAGGGAGGAAGTGGTCGAGCGAGGGAACCGTGGTTTACAAGAGAAGTTGAATCTTTTGTCAAGAGGAAGAAGGAGGCTTATGCAGAGATGAGGCGTGAAGGCTCAGTGAGGGCGCTTGAGAGTTACAAGTTAGCCAGGAAGGACCTAAAGAGAGAGCTAAGAAGAGCCAGGAGGGGTCATGAGAAGTCTTTAGCAGGTAGGATCAAGGAAAACCTAAAGCTTTCTATAGGTATGTCAGGAATAAAAGAGTGACTAGAGTAAGATTGGGGCCGGTCAAGGACAGTAGTGGGAAGTTGTGCGTGGAGTCCGAAGAGATAGGAGAGGTGCTAAATGAATATATTTCGTCAGTATTCACACAGGAAAAAGACAATGTTGTCGAGGAGAATACTGAGATACAGTCTATTAGACTAGACGGGATTGAGGTTCATAAGGAGGAGGTGTTAGCAATTCTGGAAGGTGTGAAAATAGATAAGTCCCCTGGGCCGGATGGGATTTATCCTAGGATTCTCTGGGAAGCTAGAGAGGAGATTGCAGAGCCTTTGGCTTTGATCTTTATGTCGTCATTGTCTTCAGGAATAGTGCCAGAAGATTGGAGACTAGCAAATGTTGTCCCCTTGTTCAAGAAGGGGAGTAGAGACAACCCTGGTAATTATAGACCAGTGAGCCTTACTTCGGTTGTGGGTAAAGTGTTGGAAAGGATTATAAGAGATAGGATTTATAATCATCTAGAAAGGAATAATTTGATTAGGGATAGTCAATACGGTTTTGTGAAGGGTCGGTCGTGCCTCACAAACCTTATTGAGTTCTTCGAGAAGGTGACCAAACAGGTGGATAAGGGTAAAGCGGTTGATGTGGTGTATTTGGATTTCAGTAAAGCGTTTGATAAGGTTCCCCATGGTAGGCTATTGCAGAAAATACGGAGGCATGGGATTGAGGGTGATTTAGCGGTTTGGATCAGAAATTGGCTAGCTGTAAGAAGACAGAGGGTGGTGGTTGATGGGAAATGTTCATCCTGGAGTTCAGTTACTAGTGGTGTACCTCAAGGATCTATTTTGGGGCCACTGCTGTTTGTCATTTTTATAAATGACCTGGATGAGGGCGTAGAAGGATGGGTTAGTAAATTTGCGGATGACACCAAAGTCGGTGGAGTTGTGGATAGTGCGGAAGGATGTTGCAGGTTACAGAGGGACATAGATAAGCTGCAGAGCTGGGCTGAGAGGTGGCAAATGGAGTTTAATGCAGAAAAGTGTGAGGTGATTCACTTTGGAAGCAGTAACAGGAATACAGAGTACTGGGCTAATGGTAAGATTCTTGGTAGTGTGGATGAGCAGAAAGATCTCGGTGTCCATGTGCATAGATCACTGAAAGTTGCCACCCAGGTTGATAGCGTTGTTAAGAAGGCGTACAGTATGTTAGGTTTTATTGGTAGAGGGATTGAGTTTCGGAGCCATGAGGTCATGTTGCAGCTGTACAAAACTCTGGTGCGGCCGTACTTGGAGTATTGCGTACAGTTCTGGTCGCTGCATTATAGGAAGGATGTGGAAGCATTGGAAAGGGTGCAGAGGAGATTTACCAGGATGTTGCCTGGTATGGAGGGAAGGTCTTATGAGGAAAGGCTGAGGGTTTTGAGGCTGTTTTCGTTAGAGAGAAAAAGGTTAAGAGGTGACTTGATAGAGACATACAAGATGATCAGAGGATTAGATAGGGTGGACAGTGGGAGCCTTTTTCCTCGGATGATGATGGCTAGCACGAGGGGACATAGCTTTAAATTGAGGGGTCATAGATATAGGACAGATGTCAGAGGTAGGTTCTTTACTCAGAGAGTAGTAAGGGTGTGGAATGCCCTGCCTGCAAAAATAGTAGGCTCGCCCACTTTAAGGGCATTTAAATGGTCATTGGATAAACATATGGATGATAATGGAATAGTTTAGGTTAGATGGGCTTCAGATTGGTTTCACAGGTCGGCGCAACATCGAGGGCCGAAGGGCCTGTACTGCGCTGTAATGTTCTATGTTCTATGTTCTATATCGTGATTTTGCAATAATGGTCAGAAATGATTTGTTTGTGCGCTCAAAATTTATCATTACATAAATTACTATCTTTGTAACCATTCATAGATCTTTATTGTACTCATGGGAGGATAGTCCAAACTAAAGTTGCACAATGACATTGTTCAAAAATTTACAACACGTTTCCTGTATTGTAATCACAGATAGATATTTATTGCTCTCAAGCCTTTAGTCGGACATATCAGGTAAAAAGGTATTCCAAGGTAAGGTTGGCTTTTGCTTTTCTACCTTCTGACCCTTTTATTTTCCCCAAGATGGTGGCGGAATAGGGGTGCTGAGTTCAGGGCTGGACCGATCCTGTCAGATTTCTTTCTCTTCCTCTTTCTTGTTTTTTTTTCTTCTTT